GCCTGCTGTGTTCATCCAGCTCTACACCTTGTTATCTCACATTCATCTTTTCTAATCCCATTTTCCAGCTCATAGTCTTGTATGCTTTGGTGTTTCAAGCATTCGTCTAAATAGCGCAAGTGTTTTCAGGGTTCCTGCCTCTATCAGCACTTTGGGCTGGGAGTTCATGATACCCATAAACCTCTGGGTAAAATTTTCTTTCCTTCTAAACCTCCAGCTCTTTACCTTAAGGCTGCAATATCAACTTGTATAATTAAAACAAGTACTTTTTAAACAAGGTACATAGCACCTTTTATCCAATCAAAAACTTGAAATAATAGCAACAAGTTAAGTTTGTAATCATACCTCAACATCATCATAATGCGGTGGCAGACCCTGAGAACCCTCTGGTGTGATGTAAACATTAGATCCAACTAATGATCCAAAGAAACATTCCAATTTTTCCTGGATCTTCCACAATTCATCCTTGAAGAAAAAAAGTATGCTTTGCACTGAAAAAAATCCAAAAATATATTTACACTATAAACCACAACTGAAAACAGATATCACTCAGAATCAATACCTTGAATCTCTGTGGCTGGTGAAACTGTATTGTAGCTTTCTTCTGTTCAAAGTCTTTCTTCAACTGTGTGTAATTAACCTTTCCATCTTTATTTAAAACTTTCTTCTTCCCACTTATACATCGACAAAAGTTAACATCTCTTCCATAAAATACATCATTTCTGCAGATTTCCTTTAAATCATCAAACTTAAATAATGACTGATAGTAAGCAGCTACTGAAGGGTTATTTTTCTGAATTAGAAGGGGTTTCTGTTCCCAATATTCACTGAAGAACTCTTTACTTCCAATGGGAGAGATCAGGCTCTCAAACAAGCTGGCTGGGCTTTTGAAGTCAAGAACTGAGCCAGAAACATTCGGATCTAACTTGACTCTTTTGCAGGTATCAGCATCCTCTCTCTCAGATTCAGATTCTGGTCTTCTGCCAACATTCTTCAGCATTTCTTTGAGGAAAAGAAAAAAAGTCTCAATTTTGACATAAAACATGACCATGTTGTGAAAGTCTGACTGAGTACTTTACTGCTCTTTGCACTAATTGGGTATCAAACAATTTAAATAGAAGTAAGAAAAGCAGAAAATTCTGGAAATACTCTTCAGATTAAACTATCCTCTATGGAGAAAGAAAGCAAGTTATGTTTTGAAAGCAGCATCTCCTTCTGAGTTGCAAATATGAGGCAGGGACACATATTAATATTAAGGCCCTCACTAAGGCCCTGCAGTAAGATATCCCAACTTCTGAAGTCAAATCTTCTTGCAATGAAGGCCAAAATAACAATTGCTTTCCTAAATGCTTGTTGCACCTGACTGTCTACTTTCATTGACTGATGCCTTGGTACATCCAATTTCCCAATAAATCACTATTTAAATAATATGTTTTTTGTTTTTCACACTGAAATGGATAAGTTAATATATAGCCACATTGTACTGTCTCTGTCCTTTGTTTGCCCACTCACTCAACTTGCCTAAATCACTTTGAAGCCTCCTCGCATTCTCCTCACAACCCTGCCCAGTTTTGTGTCACCAGCAAACATGGAAATCTTGCATTTGGTGTCCTCATGCAGGTCATCTATATTTAATGTGAATTGCTGGGGCAGTGATCCTTGCGGCCCCCCACTAGTCACTGCCTGCCACTCAGAAAAAGACATTTATTCCTCCCTTTTCCTGTTGTCAACCAATTCTAAATCCTATACTTCCTATCCCAGTTGCTTTAATTTTGCCCACTAACCTCTTAAAAGGGACCTTATCAAAAGCCTTTTGAAAATCTAAATACACCATGACTTTGGAGGATATTTTGCCTGAATGTTTCTGAAGCTGACTTCAAGGAGGACACTAGTATTTGTTTGATGGTCCTCCTTTTGTATCTAGAGGATGCGGCAGTAGCAGAGCTAATAGAATCCCATAGAATCCCTACAGTATGGAATCAGGCCCTTCGGCCCAACAAGTCCACACTGACCCTCAGAACATCCCACCTAGACCCATCCCCCTATAACCCACCTAATCTATACATCCCTGAACACTATGGGTAATTTAGCTTGGCCAATCCACCTTGCCTGCACATCTTTGGACAGTGGGAGGAAACCGGAGCACCTGGAAGAAACCCACACAGACAAAGGGAGAATGTGCAAACTCCACACAGACTGTCGCCCAAGGGTGGAATTGAACCCAGGCCCCTGAGCCACCCAAATTCTATGCTGCCATCAGATGACTATACAACCTAATTGTATGAGTTTGTATAAAATACTGTGCTTCAGCTTATTGCCAGCAGAATAGTCATAGAATTGCACAACACTGAGGGAGGCCATTAGATTGATCTCTTTGCTGCCAACTCTTTCCAACAACGATCTACTTCATCCTGTTCTCTTACACCTCCCCATAGTCCTGGAATATTTCTCCTTCAAGTATTCATCCAATTCATTTTTGAATCATAGAATCCCTACAGTGTGGAAGCAGCTCATTCAGCCCATTGAGTCCAGTGACCCTCTAAAGAGCATCCCACCCAGACCTACACCTCCACCCTATCCCTGTAACACTGCACTTCCCTATGGCTAACGCACCTAGCCTGCACATCCATGAACACAATGGGCAATTTAGCATGACCAATCCACCTAACCTGCACATCTTTGGACTGTGGGGAGGAAACTCACGCAAACATAGGAAAAACGTGCAAACTCCACATAGACAGTCACCCAAGGCTGGAATTGAGCCAGGGTCTCTGGTGCTGTGAGGCAGCAGTGCTAACCACTGAGCCACTGTGCTGCTCCACGAAGGTTACCACTGAATTTGTATCCACAGATGGGAACTTTCATAAGGCACTGCCATACATTGTTTGTGTTTTATCTTTCAATTATCACGAATGCAGCATTCCGAAAGCAAACATTGTGCAAATTTGATATGGTACAATGTGAAAGTTTAAACCTTTTGATTCCAACTTAAACCAGCTAAAATACAACAGTGTCAAGCAAGAAATGAAGTATACATAAAGGAGATTTAATCTTGACCAAGGTACATTGTGGAGTGAACCTCTAAGACATAAACATTGATTGTGAAATACATGTCAATGCTTAAAGCTTTAAAAAAATCTGTTCAGAAACAGCAGTCAATACATACACAAAGTAGAAAACTTGAACTGCCAAAGCTGGATCGTTGCCATTTTGTAATGTGGAAAACAACTAGTCAATCAAACTAATTCATTGTCATGTTTCATTTAATGAAACAGTTCTACAAGGATAGTTTGAACCACAACCAAAACATTAAAAAGAAATCAACTTCGTTGTCTTTAGCACCCAATGCAAAAAAAGTAAACTGAATTCAACCTGAGTCACTATGGGATCACTGCAAGGATCCTACACTGGATCTGGTTAAACTTTGGCACATTCAGTTTCATCCTACCACAATAAATCAACTTCTTCGCCACACACTAAATTGGACATTCTTCATGTTTTGAATGATCTGATGACAAGTTGTTGCATTAGCTGCAATCCACAGCTGACGAAAACTACACAAGCATCAAGCACGGCAGTATGCATACTTCCGTTTTTTGTGACGGATTTTTCTCTGTCAACTAACCACATACACCATTCAGCACAGACATGACCCTTGAATAACTTGTTGAAACAACATCTTCAGGTCACTGGGATGTCTATTTTGAATTTTGTTTCTCGTTAATTTTGTTTTGTCAACCAAACATACCAGTACCACTATGAATCTTATCTACACGCACCCTACAATTTTCATTAGAACTGTTTTACAACCCTTCTCCATAATTCGGTGGCTGGACATATCAGAAATCATGGGCACTCAACTATTTTGCCAAAATTACACGATGAGTCATAGAGTTACACAGCACGGAGACAGGTTCATCGGTCCAACTCGTCTGTGCTAACCAGATCCTAAACAGATCCAGTCCCAATTGCCAGCTTTTGCCCCACATCCCTCTAAACCCTTCCTATTCATGTATGCATCCAAATGCCTTTTAAATGGTGCAATTGATTTGATTTGATTTATTGTTGTCACATTTACCTAAGCGCAGTGAAAAGTTTTGTTTTGCATACAGTACAGATCATTACATACAAGACACAAAGATCATAGGGTGTTTGAATAGAGCGAGGAATACAAAGTTATGGCTACAAAGAAGGTATATAAAAAGCAAGTTCAATGTTAGATTTGAAATTTACGAAGTCCAATAAGAAGTCTAACAACAGTAGGGAAGAAGCTATTCTCGAACATGTTGGTATGTGTTCAAGCTTTTGTATCTCCTGCCTGACAGAAGATGTTGGAAGAGATTATAACCGGGGTGGGAGGGGCCTTTGATGATCTTGGCTGCCTTTCCGCGGCAACAAGAAGTGTAGATGGAATCAATGGAAGGAAGGTTGGCTTGCGTGATGGTCTGGGCTACGCTCACAACTTTCAGTAGTTTCTTACTTTCCTGGGCACAGCAGTTGCCATACCAAGATGTATCCAGATTGAATGCTTTCTATGGTGCATCTGTAAACGTTGGTGAGGATCCTTACAGACATGCTGAATTTCCTTAGTCTCCTGAGGAAGAAGAGATGTTCTTGTGCCTTCTTGACAGTCACATCAACATGGGTAGTCCAGGGCAGGTTGATGATCGTCACTCCTAGGATCTTGACGCTGTCGACCAACTCCACTCCGTTCCATTGATGTTGATAGGGGCGTGTCCTCCTCCTTGCTTCCTTAAGTCAATAATCAGCTCTTTAGTTTTGCTGACATTGAGGGAGAGATTGTTAACTTCGCACCACATCACCAAGTATTCTCTTTCCTGTATTCTGTTTCGTCATTGTTTGAGATCAGGCCTACAATGGTGGTGTCATCAGCGAACTTCTGGATGGAGTTTGGACATAGTCATGAGTATACAGGGAGTGCAGTACAGTGGTTGAGTACACATCCTTGCGGGGCACTGGTGTTGAGGATTGTTGTGGGGGAGGTGCTGTTGTCTATCTTCACTGATCACAGTCTGTGGGTCAGGAAGTTGAGGATCCAGTTGCAGAAAGCAGAGCAGAGGCCTAGATCTCGGAGTTTGGAGATTAGTTCGGTCAGGGGGAGCTATAGTCAATAAGTAGAAGCCTGATGTAAGTATCCTTTTGATCCAGATGTTGCAGGGATGAGTTTAGGTCTAGAGAAATGGCATCTGCCATGGGCCTTTTGCACCAACAGCCAAATTGCCAGGGATTGAGGCTGACTGCGAGGGTACTGTTGATGTGAGCCATGACTAACTTCTCGAAGCACTTCATAATTACGGAGGTCAGAGACACTGAGCAGTAGTCATTGAGGCCCATTTGCATGTATTTTCTTTGACACTGGAATGATGGTGGTCTTCTTGAAGCAGCTGGGGACTTCATATTATAGCAAGGAGATGTTAAAGATGTCAGCGAATTCTCCCACCAGCTGGTCCACACAGAATCTGAGTGCATGGTCGGGACTTCATCTGACCCAGTTGCTTTCCATGGGTGCACTCTCAAGAAGGCATCTGCAGTGGAAACTCAGTGAACAGGTGCATCCAGGGCTGCCGGGGCAGGTGACACCATTTCACTGACCTTCTGTTTGAACTAAGTGTAAAAAGCATTGAGCGCATCAGGGAGGGATGTATTTTTGTTCTACTTCTGTTCTACTTCATTTTGTAACCCATTATGTTGAGTAGGCCTTGCTGCAGACAGCGGGTGTACATGTGGCACACTGGGTCTCTAACTTAGTCTGGTATTGCCTTTTGGCATCTCTAATGGCCTTGCAGAGGCCATATCTGGACTTCCTGTAAAGGTCCAGGTCGTCTGACTTGAATGTCGGATGCCTGGTCTTCAGTAGGCAATGGATTTCTCGGTTTATCCATGGTTTCTGGTTGGGGAACATATGGATTGCCTTCTTTGGCATGCAGCCCTCTACATACTTGCTAATGAAGTCCATGATGGTGGATCCTCTTCTAGGTTGGCCACTGAATTCTTGAACATGGACCAGTCCAACAATTCCAAGCAGTCCGCAGAAGTGCCTCCCACCTCCATCACTTCCTCTGGCAGCTCAAACCATACAGGCACCATCTTCTGCATGAAAGTGTTGCGCTTCATGTCCCTTTTAAATCATTCCTCTCTCGCCTTAAACCTATGCCCTCTAGTTTTGGACTCTCCTACCCTGGGAAAAAGACCTTGACTTTTCACCCTATCCATGCACCTCATGATTTTATAAACTTCTACAAGGTCACCCCTCAGCCTCCGACACTCGAGTGGAGAAAAGCCCCCAGCCAACTCAGCCTATCCCTATAGTTCAAACTTTACAATCCCGGCAACATCCTTGGAAATCTTTTCTGAACTCTTTCAAGTTTAACAACATCCCACCTGTAGCAGGGAGACAGAACTGAATGCAGGTTTCTAAAAGCGGTCTCACCAATGTCCGGTACAGCCGTAACGTGATGTCCCAACTCCTAAACTTAATGCACTGCCCAATGAAGGCAAGCATATCAAATGCCTTCTTTACTCATGTTTTTACCACTGTTTGATGATGAATCAATGGAAATTGATATCTTTGGTATTAAGGTCTTTTGATGTTCTACTGAAATACTGGACATTTTCATTCCATAAAGTGGCTGCAGCAACTAGCTGTTGCTCTGAAAACTGTCTTGGCCAATGTAAGTGCCTTTCTGATCATGACGTAACCAGTCTGACAATGTGAAGACCAGTTCCAACACATGCTTCTCAGCTGAGGCCATTGGCTGATCCCTGTCCTTATACAGCATTTGGTTTGTGGAATCTTCTTCAGGGAACTGTCCTTCTTCTTCTTCCAGTCTTGCAGTTTTTTTTCATTTAACTGACTTTTCTTACTGCACCAGTTATTTGATGACTTAGCGAAAATTATCAACTTGAGCAGGAGAACCCATTTCTGTTTGTTGGCTACCATGTGCAGTCTGGTCTGTATATGTGTAACTAAAATTCTTTTGTATTTTATAAGCAATGCAGCTGCATTACCTGCTTGATCCAGCGCTGATTTATAAACATATATAACCCTAAGAATGTACTTCTAAGCTGAAAAATTGAGCCAACCTTTAATGCAAGTACAACTCTAAATATGAATTTCTACATGAAACATACGCAATCAACCTATTTGCCAAATATAAGCCTTAACAAGCGTCATGGCACTGAAGAAATTGGGCTGACTTATATAGTAGGTCATCTTACCCACAGTGATCTACAGTAAACAAATTGTAAATTCACTTGCCAAGCACTGCTCAAGTATATTTTTAAAAGTTCCTGTTATAGACTTAAGGTCATAAAGCGCAGCAGAAGCCCTTCAGCCCATTAAATCTGCTCTATCTACACTAAACCCACATTCCAACACTTGGCCAATAGTCGTGAATGTTATGACATTTCAAGTGCTTTTAAAGGTTGTGAGCTTTCTTGCCTCTGCAGATAAAAAAAAATTTTTCCTCAAATCCTCTCGAAACCTCCTGCCTTTCACCTTAAAATAATGCCTCCTGCGTATCGACCCTTCAACTAAGGGAAACTGCTGCGTTCTATCCACCCTGCCTATGCCCCTCACAATCATAAACACCTCAAACAGGTCCCACCTCAGCATTCTCTGCTATAAAAAAAAAGCCTATCCAGGCTTTCTTCATAGTTAAATACTCCAACCCAGGCAACACCCTTGTGAATCTCCTCTGCACCCCATCAAGTGCTACTACATCCTTCCTATAATGTGGTGACCAGAACTGCACACAGTACTCCAGCTGTGGTCAAACCAAAGTTTTGTATAGCTCCAACATTATGTCCCTGCTCTTATAATCTTTGCCACAATTGATAAAGGCAAGTGTTCCATATGCCTTCTTAACCACCCTATTAATCGGTACTGTCACCTTCAAGGATCTGTGGACAATCACCCCAAGATCTCTCTTTTCCTCTGAGTTTCTTAGTGTCCTGTGTTCCCTTGTACTTTTTCCACAGTACATCACCTCACACTTTCCAGAGTTAATTTTCATCTGCCACTGATCTGTCCATCTGACCAACCCGTCTAGATCTTCCAGTAACTGAAGACCTTCTTCCCCATGAGTAACCTCCTGGCCAATCTTTGTGTCATCTGCAAACTTACTTATTGCCCCTTACAACCTCATCTGTACAGTTTAAATGGGTAAAGGCAAAGTGGCCATAGTCCTATTACACCATGGGCTGCTGTCTAGTTGAGTGAGACGACTGGTGGGGATTTAACCCAAGGGTCACAATGCCTCAGGCAAGGCAGAGGTTGTGAAGAAGCGTCCTTTATAGTAGCTTTGCTGGCGCAGGAATTGAACCCACACTGTTGATTGACTGATTTTATTGTTACATGTACCGAAATACAGTGAAAAGCTTTGTTTACGAGTGGTACAGGCAGATCACAACAAGCAAAGGATGTACAGACCAAAGAGACTTGGAGGCATACAGGTTACATTATTTGAGGCTCGAGTCCATTCAACAGTCTGATAACAGCCAGAAAGAAGCTGTTACTGAACCTGCTCGTGTGTGTTTTCAGGCTTCTGTATCTCCTGCCTGACGGAAGTGGTTGTAGGAGGTCATTTCCAGGGTGCGATGGGTCTTTGATCATGTTAGCTGCCTTTACGCGGCAGCCAGCCGTATAAATAGAGTCCATGGATGGAAGGTTGATTTCCGTCATGGTCTGGGCTGTACACACAACCTTCTGTAGTTTCTTATGGTCCTGGGCAGAGCAGTTGACATACCAGGCCATTATGCTCCTGGACTGATGGTATTCCTCTGTATTGCAAATGAGCTATCAAGCCAACTGAGCTATCCAACTATCAAAAACAATAAGAGACCCAGCAATTATCCCTGTAGTATGCCACTGTCCAGTCAAATTAACAGCCTTCTACCACACTCTCTGTTTCCTACAGTTAAGCTAATTTTGGATCCATCTAACCAAGTCATTTTACCTTCTTTATCAGTCTCCCATGTGGGACCTTGTCAAAGGTTTCATAAACATTGCTCTTTCTCGACTGCAGAATAATAGAAATGAGGAAAATTCCAGCAGTTGAAATTAGCTGGAAGCAACGTGAAACATGTAAACATTACATATCAGCTTAATTCTAAAGCATAACCACGAACCCTTTACAGGATGCAGCAAAAACCTTAGGCTCAGTACTAACATAGCTGACACTACCACATTATGACGTATACCAAGAATACCTCAAACAAGACACTGGTTGGATAAGTAGCCCCAGGCTAATCTGAGACAAATGCAATCCCAGTTCTGTGAATTCAGTGCTGGCCATCAAGGAATGTTTCAGTTTCCCTTGGAAATTTATATCACTCATGTTATATGCGCTCTACAACCATCCCCTTCCACAGACATCAAGGTCATAATTCCTGAGTCAAGCAGCAACAGTTTTTAAACTCTAAATCAGATGTGGCCAAAGCCGAAGAGACAAAACAAGAGAATGTATTCTTACAAAGAACCATGTGTTTCAACAACCCGAAATAGATACTGATAGAAGACGTTATATTAGTCGGCTTTTTACTCATAATCCTGAATTTTCTGGATGATAGCCCATAGAGATGTTATCAATCCATTCACAGTCCCCAAGTCATAAAACCTTGGACTGTATATGGAAAGTATATCATTATCTATTATTATATGCATATTGCAGCCACACTCTGAATCCACATTTTAATGTACTCACTAACCACATGAAATAATTAAAATAATAAATGGATAATTAAAAGCAAATCCTGCATAGTCAAAAGCGGCCTAGCACATTGTACCTGACAGCAAATTTTATCTTCATCTTCTACATATAAGAAATAGAACGGGAGCATGAGGAGGCAATAGTAATGAAAGACCACAGTGATCAGGGAGAGAACTCGAATGTGGAGAGAGTGAAATATTAGGCAGAGGATATCCAGGAAAGAAGTCATCAAAGGAAGCAGGAGCAATCTAACAAGAAAGGTTGTCAGCAGAGAGATTAAGGAAGAGAGATTAGTAGAAGATATGGAACAGTAGAGAAATAGTGGCATAGTAGTAATGTCACAGAACTAGTAATCCAGAAGTCTAGTCAATCCCACCAAGGCAGCTAGTAGAACCTGAATCCAACTAACAAAATAAATTGGAAGATAGAGCTATTGTAATGGTGACCATTAAACCATTACAATTATCATAAAAACTAATTTGGGTCACAAGTGCAATTTACAGAAGGGAATCTGTCATTCTTACCTGGTCTTACCTTTATATGACTGCAGATTCACTGCCATGTGGTTAATTGTTCATTGTGCATATCTCTCATTCCAAAAACATTTAGTGTTGGAATACAAATGCTGGTCTCAAGTGACACCCACATACCGAATGAAGAAAGTTAGGAAACAAAGACAGATGACGGGAACACATGCTTCAGCTAGAAGAGACACGTTATACTCTGCTGATTGAACATGCTCAATGTCACCTTTACACATCAGTTGATCGCTTGATATTGTATACATCACAGACCAAACAAAAACACTAAGGAGCAGAATTAGACCATTCGCACCATTGAGTCTGCTCGCCCGTTCAATGCTGATCTGATAATCCTCATCGCCACTTTCCTACCTTTTCCCCATAAAGCTGAGGATGGAACTATTTAGTGGCACTGAACTAAGCGAAGGAGCTGTGAAGTGAACAGATGAACTAAACTTGGTGGAGTTTGGTGAAGGTTAACAATGGCCTGCTCTGAAAAATGGTGTGAAAGTGGGATTAGATTCAGAGGGCGACATACAGGAACTAGAGACTGTGATGGATCCCGGAACGGGGCTCACATCCCTGACGAGAGCGGAATCGCTCAGTCTCCTACAGCGCGAAAACGGCACAATCTCCACGCGCCGTGCACGGGCCCCCGTTACCCGGAGACGGTTAGGCTCGCGCCCGGGGCCGCCGTTACCTAGAAACGGTTAGACTCGCGCCCTGGGCCGCCGTTACCTGGAGACGGTCGGACTGGCGCCCGGGCCGCCACGTTCCTGACAGATTCCAACGTTTCTCAAACAGACCTCCGGACCAGTGCCGCCCTCCGCAACTTCCGACTGAAACCAGCCTCATCGGAAATAGGTTCCGAGTGCTCCCACATTGCTCTGGCCCGAGTGTTACCTATAAAATGTTGTTAGGTACTGTTGTAAGTCTTTTCGAGCGCCAGTCACACCTCAAAACATTTCTGTACGGTTTTCTTTTAAATCTCTCCCGTAAACATGGACAAAACTGCGTCATAACCAATGGCATTTGCAGATTTAAATTTATATTTGATTTAATTAATTAATTTATTTAAAGAAATTAATTCAACTACGAAACTCTAGAATTCAGAATTGCCATGAATAGCTGAGCCTTTTGCAGCCCGCGTGCCTTTCAAAACTTTCTCCAACTTCAACACAACTCCATACTCGGAGACTGTTTAAAAATTAATGTCTAACGACGTCCAGTTCTCATTAGAGTGTGTACCTGACCTTCTAAAATAAAAGCTCAAGAGCTGTGAGCATCACTATTTCACATGAAGCCCATCTGTTGGAAGTAGATCCACGAATTCGAATTCCAGGATTTGATCCAGTGACAGTGAAGGAACAGCAATACATTTCCAAATCAGGATCGTGAGTAACTTCGAGGTGAACTTGCAGCTTGTGCTATTTCTATGATCTGCTACCCTTGTCTTTCTAGATGGAAGTGGTTGAGGGTTTGGAAGGTGCTGTCTGGAGGAGCTTTGGTGAATTTCTGCAATGCTTCTTGTAAAAAGCACACAAATGAGGCTACTTGAGTGAGTGTTAGTGGTCAAGACAGTGGATGTTTTAGTTGATGGATGAGGTGCCAGTGAACCTGACTGTTTTGTCTTGGACAGGTTCAAAATTCTTGAGTGTTTAATGAATTAAGGGATTTAATAACCGGAGACTTCTTACAGGAAAAGCCACACCCATGTTTGCAAACAAAGACATGATTCTGTTGTTCTGGCCAAGGTAGGGGAGAACACTCCAGTATCTTTCAATGGTCCCTTGTCAGAGCATATATTTAAATGTTTACCCATGTATCAATATGATCTGATATATACTTTATGTTAGTTTCAGAAGAAGAAAAAAATCTGCCAGCCCAGGTTTATTTTGTGATGTCTCACTGGGGAGATGCTGGATAATCAAGCCCTACTGTTCCCTGAGTCATCGCAAAAATTAAAGATTTTTAGAAGTATGCAAAATTCTCCACTTTATATGACTTTTAGACTTAGATGAACAGAAAACATGTATCAGATTTCTATACTTAACAAGATTGACTTCTTGCTACAAGCAAGTAGACTCCAGCTACAGGTAAACAATTATGAATATTCACATGTAACTCTATTAGTTAAAACTCCAATTACCTTATAAACTCCTGCTTACATACAAATACACAGTCAGACACACACAGGAGAAACAAACATAGGTATTACAGAGAAAGAAAACTGGAAAATTCAGTGGTCTCTGTCCACAGGATCTGCTGAAATGGTTCTTGTGCTGATCAGAACGTCAGTCTTGCTTCTCTGGATACTTTCACTGATATACAGGAAACACAAAATCACTGATTAACATTTATAAAAGCTATCTAACTTATTAATTAAAAGTCACAGTTTACACCAACTGCTAAAGGCAAAATATACTGGTTTTCTTCAGGCTTAAATTGACTTTTACTGGAGTAAACAGAGAGAGCTCCTGAGCGATGGAGATCTGAAAGATTCTATCATTTTTACAGCCTCAAGCCATTCTGCTCCCTAAAAGATCACATTGATGTTGGCAGGCAGAAGCCCTTTGCCATCAATATCTGGTTACTTGACTACCGACCAAATCAGCTACTTGTTGCTGGCTGAATTTTCACTTAACACATCCCTTAGCTCCAGCTTATCTGTAAACTACACTTCAATTATTGCTTGAACAAACAGTTGTGTAAATAGTACCTACAATGATTGTCAGGTTATTTTATTTTAAAACCTGCACTAATCCTTCAGCAATCCTTGTTTTTTTAAAACTATACACACTGATTAAATAATAAATAATGGAACCTTCTCTGCAGAGATCAACTTTTGTTTTAAAAAAATGCACTTTGGCAAAATAATAGTTTATTCTTGAAGAAAAAGCTAAGATTTAGATTTAGGTTCAGGTTTTACTGAATTAGCTTTATTGTCACATACCCGATGTGTACAGTGAACAGTTTATAAGTCGTCACTTACAGCACCATCTTGGGTACAAAGATACCTAGGTACAACTTCTTCAGTTACAAGATCTTAGAAAATAGAGAAATAAAATGCCCAGCATTGCAGAAATAGAAAGTTCAGAACAACAGTCTTCCAACCCAGACTGTGCTGGCACCTAGCCTCTGGTCCACGCAGGCTTCACCTCGAGGTTCATGAGGCTGGGAGATCGCTCTGGAATCATGTTGAGACCAGGCAACCACACTGAGACCATACCAGGCCAAGAAACTGCCACATACTGCCAGAAGACTGCCATGCTGGGCCGAGAAGACGCCACATCAGAGGGCCGCTGTTTTATTGTCACATGTACTCAAGCACAGGGTACAAGAGTACTGTGAAAAGTGTACAATGTCGCCACACGTGGCTCCATCTTTGGTACAAAATACCTAGGTACAAAATCGCAGTTACAAAAGTAGAAAAACAAAGACACAAGTTAAAAAGTTCAACACTACTGTCTTAGTATAAATGTGGAAAATTAAAGAACTAAAGTTAAAGTGTCAAAGATTACAGTCCTTTCTTAAGTCATGGGCCTACAGACGTTCCAAGCTGGGTTTTCCCCGATAGGGTTCGCTCTCCCCTGTGCTGTGCATGCTTTCCCGTGCTAGGAACCCACCTGTGTTCACCAGATGCCACTGATCTCCATCGGGCATGCCAGGCTTCACTGCCACTGGCAAAGCTTCAGCCCTGACCACTGCTTTACCACTGCCATCATCCTTCGCGACTGACCGCCACTGTTGCCACCTTTCACCACTCACCACCGTCATCTGTTGCCGCCATTGCATTGCTGCCACCATCCAGGCTCGCACTGTGCCCCAGCCACTGCTATTGTCTGTTGCTGCATTAGGTACCTCGTTGCAGAGTCCCACTTGTACCGCTCCAGACATCAATGAAGCCGCAATGCCGCCAATTGTGACCAGCTGCCTCATGGCCAATCGTCAAACTCCCCCAGCCGCTGCCACCACTGCCTCCACAAGCAAGCTGTAAATAATAAACGACTAAAAGAAAGAAAGAGGAAAGAATGAAAAAAGCAAGAAAGGCATGCGATCAGTGCAGACAAGCTCTGGTGAGTAGCCCTACTCCGCCTCCGCCTTGACTAAGATATGAAATGTTCCGGAATTCTTTTGGTCTGGCATCCTGGTAAATGCAGTCGTCACTGGGATCTTTTCATAAGGTTTTCACTGAGGTGATGTTAAGCAGTCTTCCAGAAGCTTCTCAGAAGAATTGCTACATCAGTTTTCCAGCTCTTACACTAGATTCTAAAGGGGTTCCTCAAAAATGTAGATATGAGTTAGGTAGCTTCTCTCTTGGCCAGCTACACCCCACCCAACTTTTCCAAACAATATCCAACAACCCAAAACTCCAGACAGCAGTACATTCAGACATGTGACTTATCTGTAAACCAGTCCAAGTAGTTCCATAGTCTAAATGGCTCCAGTTATTCGCTTGGTTAATTGTTTCTTCCAATATGTGTTTTTGAGAGTCCAAAGTGACCATCCAGAAACTTGTCTTTTTTTTAAAAAAAGACAAGTCCTCATAAATGTATTAATAATGGAAGTACATTAATGAGGAAAAATATTTTTGAGTTTCATTTAACTCAATTAGAGAGCAGAATTAATTAGATAGATGGCAGGGTGCAAGGATATAGTGGCTGTTATAGCTGCATAGAGTTCTGGCCTAATATTAGATCTCATGAGAGATGATAAATGACTTCATCCAAATTAGATCTATCTTTTCACTTTAGGCTACCATATTATCAGGCGCTTGTGTGCTTAAACAAGGTGGGGAATCTGGGCATCACTAAATCTCCTTTGCATTCTCTGAAAGATATTGGCCTAAATATTCTGATGGCCAGAGAGTCACTGGAGCAGGAGTAATTGGAGTTATTTGATAGGACCATATGGAATTTCCAAAGCAGCAGACTCTATGAGAATTGCCTGAGAAATTTAAACTTTTGATTGTCAATTCCCTTGCATTTGGAACCCACCAGAAAAGCCCCTAATTAGAAACTTCAGAGGTTCTGAGTCAATTCTGTTTAATAGTTACCCAGAAAGGGGTAGAGGATTAAAAACCTGCCCTAACTGCTGAGTTACAGTTAAACCAAAAACCCTAACCACAGACTGATAATTGATCCGACAGCCCTCTTATCCTCGACAACCATCCCCGACCACACTCCCTCTCTCTCTGGCCTGATGACTTTACGCACAATTAGACCCTGGCCCAACCTGAAATTTCTACTCAGTTCCTCTACCAAATCCAACAAACATCGTCCCAACTGAAATCAACACTTTGCCCTCACTTCCCTGTCAGCCTGATCTCTCTTCCCTCCAACTCCTCCCACTGCCGGACCAGGCACCCCCTAACCTACCCAAACACTTCTTCACTTACCTGGCACCCCGCTCAGTTAGCACACTAATCACATCTAACCTGGCACCCTAAACACCCCAAACAGCTGCCAGCCTAACCCTACACTTACCTACATTCTACCCTTCCACCGGAACTGTCCAAGTGACTGGATATGCTGTTGGTCATTTAAGTCTCAGACCACAGCACACTGCTAAAAATGGAGACATGATTTCTGCACAGATCTCCTTTGCTGCTGAACTCGTACATTCCTGAATAGGTTTGTAACAGGAGACCTTGTCCAGGAATCGCAAATGCAGAAGCCAGATACATCATAGATTTCCTTAGAATTTATAAAGGTTATAAAGCAAGATCTAAAAGTTAAGTGCTAATTTCTGTCTTAATAGATTTCTGTACCTTGTTCTAGAAATGGCATGTGTACTAAACTGTCTGTTTCTCCCTAACCAAAAGCAAACTATTGTGAATGCTGGAAATCAAATAAAAGCAGAAAATGCTGGAAGGTCAAGTAGCATCTTTGAGAGAGAGATAGATTCTCTTGACCTGTTTCTCTCTCCATTGATGATCTGATCTGCTTTTATTTCAGATTTACAGCATTTTTTATGATTTGATTCATTTACCAAAAAGTTAACATGCTTCAATCTAAAGTAAATTTTGCTAAATTTACCAATCTTGACTATAAGACAAACAACTTCATATTTTTTCAAGAATGATCCTATTCAGAAATCAATCTTTATTTAGATTTTATAGTTTACACAGTTCCACTGTTTTAATGATATCCATTATTGGCTTACATTAACTGATCAGTAATACAAAACTGCACAAAGGTAACTTGCAGTAAATGGCTGCCTGTGATATTGGCTATGTGGACAAATGTTGAAATTTACTCATATGCAAGGGGGTTGTGTTAGTGACAAACAAGTACAAATGCTGTGGTACTGTTCAAGCATATTCCCATACTACAGCACATTATGAACCATGCTGTTTCAATCAACCTGTTGTAAATCAACTAATTTTCACCTTAATTACAAATAACCAGTTAAAAATTCCATCTGTCTTTACAGAACTTGAATAGATTCAAGATTTCATTAGCAAAAAAAATAGAAACATCAATAACTTGCACATAAAAATCAGACTGAAAGCTGCACTGCTCACAATATTTTGGCTTCTACAACTAAGCCTGAATTCTTAAAGCAAGCCGGAAAATAAATGTTGTTTTTGATAAATAGTCCCGTTACAGCTGTCAGAACATTAGCTGCAGCTTTACAACACAAAATTCACTGCAGTAGTTTTTTAGTAGTATACTGGCAGCTACTAAAGTAAATCAAATAGGATTATACTCGTCTATTACTTATAAAGAGCACACAACTCCTCTCTTTCTGTAGCAGAATGTCACGTCTGTCTTGATTCTCTGCCTGCAACGCAGTTCTGCATATTTTCAAATGTAGTGTTGTTATCCACACCTTCCGGGAATTCCAACTTCTCGCAGATTAGCTTTTTCAGGGGTAAATACTTTGAGATCTCATTCGGATCAGTAAAAAGATACTGTGGAACATTCTGAAACAAAAGTGAATCTGAATAGGTTTAGGGAATTACATGCAAAGTTTTTTTAACCTCCTCCCACCAATCCAGGGTCCTGAAAATGTACTATGAGATTCTAACTCATCAATACTTAACACATTCACCCAAGTATTTCAAACTAGTTAACACATGCAGTAAAATGGCAAAAGAAAAAAATATCTGGAGAATGGTAGAAAGAAATTTTTGCGTAGAATGCGACAGCATAATTTCAGGGCCCATTTATTTTTAGTCAAAAGCTGGCCCAAGCTTTAATATGCCATAAAATGTTTGGATCATAAAATAGGCTGACAGTTCCTTACTATACATATAGAACTCAACCATGGTGCTGCCTAAAGTGCTGTTGTTTTTACAACTGATCTGTAAATGCATCCTTTGTAGAAGGATTACCCTCCCAATCTAGGGCACTAAAATGAGCGCACACAAAGAATTTCCACAAACACTACTTCGCATGAAAGGTGAAATTAACAATCTCAGGTCATCATTCCATCAGATTTGGCAAAACAGGACAGGAGTTATGAGGAAATCTGACATGCAATTTACTTTTGCCAACTGTTCACATGTGTTGCATTTCCAAAATGCCTGGTAATCTTTTAATTTTTAAGTAATTCAATTACAAATTCCAGACACTTCAAAAAATTTACCTGAAGAGCAGATATACTACTTTCCCGGGAGCTGTATTCAGAGAGAAGGTAGTTTTTGTCAGCCTTTGAAAAAGAGAAAGAAATGTTTTTCTTCATTAAAAATTTATCTCACCTTTCATAGTTCTTCACTTTTTAAGTTCATATACTGTTGTTCCAGATCTCTCTGGAAAGGACCAGAATGTATGGTCTAGATCTTTAAGGGAAAACATTACTGCTGCTTCAACTTCTGTTTTGGCACAGTTCAATGTTTTTTCCTTCAACATATTCTTTTCAGTTCCTATAAGGGCCTGGGTATGGGGTTCTGATAAAAGGTCCTGATAAAGGGTCGTTGTTGAAACATCATCATATTTTCTTTCTTCATTCTTTGCCATGTTCAGTATTTTCTGTTTTGTTCCAGATTTCCAGCATCAGCAATGTTTTATTTCTTATTTTGGGTTTAGGGAAGAACTAAGAATGGCCTTAAATTTTGAAAACTGCAAAATACATTTTTGTATAAAATAATATAGCCTCCTCTCTGAAAATTGTACAGTTATAGATGAGGAAGGTTATGCAATCCATCTTTATTTAACCATTCAGAAAAAAAAACAATTGCCCAGTAGTGTTCAAGAATGTTTATGTTAAAGGTGTTAGTCATGGTAAAAACCCCAAATGGGGTTATAGGGAAAGGGTGGGATGCTCTTTGGAGGGTCAGTGCAGACTCAGTGGGCTGAATGGCCTCTTTCTGCACTGTACGGATTCTATGAAATTCTAATTGTAGAGTTCCTTCATATCTAATTATTTCTTAAATCATTCTATCGTTTTCATCCTCATTGCTCAGTCATGTCTTTGTCAAGTGTTGAAAACATTAAATAAAAAGTGGAAAGACAAAGATGGAGAGAGAAAAACCCAAAAGAATATGGTGGTATCGTAGAAGTTTTATTTATTTGGCAAATTTCAGCTGACAGCCTCTGAGCTATTGGAGCAAAATTACCAAGAAAATCTATTCTTGCACAAAACAAGACTGAAGGCAAAGTGGAAGGCAGTCACAAAATGATTTGAAAGGCAAAATCTATTTGTATGTAGAGGCTTCATGAACAAGGTTGACTATGTGGCATTTCAGCCCCAAAACTGCTATAAGACAAGAAAAAAATGGCCAAGATTTTTCATTCCCTCAGAAAGCTTCACATGGGAGTTAGTGATCTTTTTGACAAGAACTTTAACTTTCTTGATGTGCAATTGGACAGGCTGTCCAAGTAGCCTATCACATTAAAAAATTCTCAGACAGCCAACTAGTAAATAAAAAGCACTAATCAAATCACATTTTAAAAAATTTGCAGACAGCAAATATCATGATTGCAACATACACATGGAGTAAAAGTAGGGATGCTGAAATATCATCAGCAAACAAAAAATAAGAACTTTTTTAAAAATCCTGTAATTAATCATAAAAGAGGCATTTAACATTACACAAATACAAAATTATATTCTCAGGGGCAAATCAGTTATTCAGCTGTAGTTATTTCCCAAATGGCCATTAAATCTTTTACGGAGTTTCTTATGGGAGACAGGAGAACAGAAAAAGGGCAAGTCCTCATTAGATCTGATGGTTTTGCTGATTGCTGACTTTGTGTTTGGGCATGGGGAGAGGAATGGGTGTCCACAACAAAGCCTCACTACAACTACAGACATTAGTATTAATTTGAATTTGTGGTTAATAGCAGTAAACATTGTATCATTAAAAAGCTGGACTATTGCAGAGACTTGGTGTCGGCAACACGAGAAGTATTGCATTTGAGGTTGAAATAGGGACACACTTCCTGTAAAGAGTAGGAGGAAACATAGCAAAACATATATGTCATTCATACAGCATTGGATTGGAAATGATCATCGAACTTGATTCTGTGTTCCAATTATTCTTATCCAATGGAAAATCCAAAAGGCTCATGGAGAATAAATAAGAATGGATGATAACTCTGCACAGTACAGACTTAAAATTACAGTTCATCTGCATGTATTATAGTTACTAAATTATATCATATTTTGTTTTAATACCACAATATGAATACAATATATAGATAAGGTAAAGGGCACTTATGGTCTCGTGGTTATGTCCCTACCTCTGGGCCAGAATGCCTGTTTTCAAGTCCCAGAGGTGTGTCAAAATATTTGTAAATAAGTTGAGTTAAAATATCAATAGAAAACGTAAATAATTATTATCCATCCTTACCTCATGATAAACTCTCGTATCATTTGTTCGTATGAGTACTCCATCAACTCTCAAGAAAAACCGCAGCAGCACAAAGAAACTAGATGGCATCACTCTCTTGAAAAACAGATGAATAAGTTATTCAAATACACTGCCACAAGCCTCTACTTCTCCTTCATTTTCTTTCCTTTTCAACATATATTAAGTTTGCTTTTGAAAATTACTACTGTATCAACTTCCTACACTCTTTCACACAGTGCATTCTAGACCACAACTCACTGAGGAAAGGAAATATCTCTGATTCCTTTACCAAACATCTTAAATCTGTGCGCTTTGGTAATGCATCGTCTTCCTGGTGAATAGTTTCAATTTGTTTAATCTTATCAAAATCCTTTGAACATGTCCGCTATATAGATCTCTGTGGAGACAGAAGCAGAGCTAACATTTCAGGTCAATTACTTTTTATGACAACTGGCAAACTTTAGAGCTATAATACATTTTAAGCAAGCAACATGTTATGGTAATAATAAATCCTGGTATTGTAAAAATTGGAAATAGTAAAGGGAAAGTCTGTGACAAGGGAGCTGGAAGACAGGAGATATTAAATTATATAAAAGCTGACTGTGAAAGGCAGAAGAAGATAGTAAGGGGATATGTAAGTGAGGAAAGATGGATTAATGAACTGTATATATATGTATGTGTATGAAGAGCAACATCAACGACAGTAGAGATAACAAGGTGTAGAGCTGGATGAACACAGCAGGCCAAGCAGCATCAGAGGACCCTTCTTCAGAACTGAAACGTCAGCTTTCCTGCTCCTCTGATGCTGCTTGGCCTGCTGTGTTCATCCAGCTCTACACCTTGTTATCTCAGATTCTCCAGCATCGGCAGTTCCTATTATCATTGACAGTAGCTACCCAACATCGGAACAAAAAAATCTTAAAGATATGGGATCTGAAGTAGTTAAACTCCATTTGAATCTGGAAGGCTCTAATATTATCAAAAAAAACACAGATGCTGTTCCTCAGTCTTTAGGCAAATATCACTGGAATAATGTAGGAGACCAATGACAAATTGATCAGACTAGGAGAATCACATCTCTAAATGTTTCCTTTTCTAACAAGAGATCATCAATCTAAAGCACTAACTTTGTTTCGCGAATTTTTCTGGTCCTTAATTCATATCTGCAGCATCCACATTATCTTTCTTTGTCCTTCATCCTATTACCATTCTGAGAAAGCTCTTTAACCTTCTCGAAGGCTTTGACATTCTGCCTAAAATATGTGGCCAGAATTGGAGTCATAGATGGACACAGTATTTCAATTAAAGTGTATTTGGTGATTTTATAAAGACCACAAACATATGGGCAGAAGTATACCATTTGACCCATCAAGTCTTCTCTGCCATTCAATGAGACAGTGGCTGAAAAAATACTCAACTCCACTTTCTTGGCTTTCCTCCCATAAGCCTCAATTCCCTTACTGATTAAAAATCTGTCCATTTCAGACTTAAATATACTTAATGACCCAGCCTCAACAGCCCTCTGCAGTAAAGAATTCCACAGATTCATCAGCCTGGGAGAGAAAAAATTCCTTCTCATCCTGTCCTGACCAGGTAAACCTCTTGCTCTGAGATTATGTCCTCTTATCCTCAACTTACTTCACTATGTGAAACTACCTCTCCACATCTATCCTACTAAGGGTTTCAATTAGGTCACCTCACATTCTTCTACACTCCAAAAGGCCAGGTCCAACCTACTCAACCTCTCTCTGTAAGAAAATCACTTCACACCCAGAATCTAGCTAGTTAACCTTCTCAGGACTGCCACCAATGTCAGTACATCTTTCCTTAGACAAGGAGATCAATATTCCACATGTGATCTGATGAGTGCCTTGTATAGTTTAACAAGACTTCCCTCTTTATATATTTCAGTGCCTTTAAAATGAAAGCCACAAGTCCATTTGTCTGCCCTATTATCCACTGAGCATGGCTGCTGGCTTTTCATAACTTATGCATGAGGATGCCCAAATCCCTCTGTGGTGAAGATTTTTTAAATCGCTGACTATTTCAATAATATTCAGTTCTTTTATTATTCTTGCCAAACTACATAAACTTGCATTTTTCCTCCTTATATTCCATCTACCAAGTTTCTGCCCAGTCACTTGACTTGTCTATAACCGTCTGTAGACTCTTCGTATCATCATTTCTTCCATTTTTGCGTCATTCAGAAACGTGATAATAGTCCATTCACTTCCATCATCCAAGTCATTAATACATAATGCCCCAGCACCAATCCCTGTCACTCTACTACTTGCAGATTACCATCCTGAAAATGTCCCTTTTATCCCAAATTCTCTGCCTTCGATTGATTAGCTAACCCACTAACCATACTAATATACTATCCCCAACAGCATGGGCTCATATTATTAAGTAGCCTCACATGCTGTACATTAACTATATTACATTCACTGGCTCCCCTTTTTCTACCCGACTTGTTACCACCTCAAAAAATTCTAATAAATTTGTCAGGCATTATTTCCACTTCATGAAGCCATGCTGACTCTGCTTGATTATATTATGCATTTCTAAATGTTCTGCTGCTGTCTCCTTTATAATAGACTCAATGTTTTCCCAATGATAGATGTTAAGGTAACTGGCCTACAGTTACCAGTATTTTGTCTCCCTCCTTATTTGAATAAAGGTGTCACATAGGCAGTCGTCCAATCCTCTGGAACTGTCCAAGAAACTAAGTATTCTCGGAAGATTACGGCCAGTGCATTCACTATCTCTGTAGCTACTTCCTTTAAAATTTAAGGATGTAATTCATCAGGTGCAGTGGACATTTCATCCTTTAGTCCCATGAGTTTGCCAAGTACCTTTTTCTCTGGTAAAGGTTATCGTATTTGTTTCTCTTCATGCACGCCACCCCCCAGCTTCATTTTAAAATCTGACTGGCATTATGACGGGAACCAAAACATCAGGATCAGCAATGCACAGAGAAGAATAAAAACTGTTGGTGAAGGAAAATGAAATTAAGAATATTACAGAAATGATTTAATACATGCACTGCATGATTTATTTCATTGGCCTGATCCAATATGATTTACTCCAAACAAAAACTTAGCAAAACAATGATTTCACTGGTATTCCTTTAATGTTTAAAGTAGGATATTGGGATAAAAAAAACAAAGCCACAGTTGTTATCCAGTAAAAAAAGGCCACCATTCATTGAATCACAGAATGTTCCAATGCAGATGGCTCTCTGCACGAGCAACTCAGCTGGCCCCACTCCTCCAATTTTTTCCAGTAATTCTGCAAATTCTTTTCTCTTTAAATAATTATCCAATTTGCTTTTGAAACTCATGATTAATTGTGCCTGCATTCCACTCTCAGACAGTACATTCCAGATTTTAACTATACACTAGGTGTTTATCCTCTGTCAGCTTTGGTTATTTTACCATCCATTTAAACCTGTATCCTCTGGTCCCCATGCTTCTATCTATTCAACAGTTTCTCCCTATTTTCACTGCTCAGACCCTTCAGGATTTTGAGCAACTCTCTCAAATTTCCTCTCCAAGGAAAATAGCCCAAGTTTCACCAAGCAATGCACGTAACAAAAGGTCCTAACAGACTCATACAACACAGAAACAGGCCTTTTGGCCCACCACATTTATGTCAACCAACAAACACCATAACTCCAATAATCCCACTTACCTGTACTTGGATAATAGCCTATGTCCTGGCATTTTAAGTACTCATCCAGATGCTTCTTAAATGTTGCTGAGTTTCTGCCTCCACTGCCCTCTTGGGCAGCACGTTCCATATTTCTACTACCCCCTGGGTAACAAAGGTCTCTCTCAGGTCTCCTCTAAAGCATTTGCTCCTCACCTTAAACCTATGCCCGCTGGTCTAAGACACATCTGCCATGGAGAAGAGATTGTCGCAATCTACACTGTCTATAACTGTCATAATTTTGTACACTTCGAACAGATTCCCCCTCAGCCTCCTCTACTCCAAGGTAAACAAAGCCAGCCTATTCAGTCTTTCCTCATAAGTGAGTTTCTTCATCCCAAGTAATATCCTGGTGAATCTTGTCTGCGCCCTCTCCAGTGCAATCACAATCTTCCAATAGTGTGGCGCCGGAACTGCCGTGAATGTAGTCATGATGTTGAAACTGTTGAAATAGGCTTTGTTGAATGAATAATTTTATCTGAAAAACTGCATTTTGTCTGTATTGTTCATTATTTTTCACTATAATTGTTCATTATTACTGTTCAGCAACCTCTTTGAAAAAGAAATTTTACATTTATAGAATGTCAAGTTTCTTCATTGTCATAAATCAATAGGTTTTAAAATGTTTCAAAAGTCTTTTCGATATTTTAACTTTTACCTGAATAAAGTGGATTTTCCGATCTTTATTTTGCTATTATAAAATTAGTTAAAGTTAAAACCTAAAAAAAAAAGGAGTGGGCGGGATTGTGTAGTTATTCATTGAATCGCACAACAGCCAAAGGATCTAATCCTACTCCTAATTTGTATTTTCAAACCAAAAGCTCTATCACCAAGGGGACAACAGCTGGTATAAACAGTGTCTTGTACCACAGAATGTTAATTAACAATTGTAATCCGTTCAAACACTTGCATTATGCTCCCACTTTCCCTTCCTTCAGTCTGGCACCCATTTAGAATTGTAATCTTTGTTTTATGTTACCTTTCCCTCACTCCAGACAAAAATATATCACCACCATTCTCTGTATTATATTTCATCTCCCACATATTTTCATCAGCCTGTCAAAGTCTGTAACTTTTCACAGTTTATAGTTCTCGATACTTTCAACACACAGGACAGCTGCACATTTTGAAACTGCATCATGTATATCCAAGTTCAGGTCATTAATATTGATAAGAAAAGGCAATGATCCCAGTACTTACCCCGGAGAATTCACTATATATATTTTATTTTCAGCTTTCACTGCTTACGGGATGGTGTCATTAACAACTTTTGTAATGAGAACAGCAAGATTATACATCTTACCACTTTCACACTGAGCATGGAGACACCATGGTCATGAAGTTCATCTTCAAACAACAAAACTTCCTCAAAATACATGATCTGCTCTCTCGTTTTCAATTTTTCCAAATCAATACGTTCAGTTGTAGGAGTAACCTAGGAATGAGATGAATGCGTATCACTCAACCAACTAAAGAATGGCTACATATTACTATCTAATAACAAAGTTATTACATGGATAAAATTATCCTTGGACATTACAATGACACTAATAAGAAGGCAAAGAGTTCATAAATTTGATAACATTTTGAAGATTCACTTCATTAGACCAAATTTCCAGCCATTATATATAACCATGTATCTATAGAATATTCTTAAGCACTAATACTAATATAACAAATAGGTGGAGTAAAGTCAACGTTGTCACAAATTACCTTTAGCTTTAACTCGTCACCAAGTAATGTTCCTTTATAATCTGTAGTAAAAGTCCAATCATAGGGTTTAACAACTTCTTTAGAGTGTTCGGAATCGGCCCTAAGATTAAAACAAATAATTATCTTAAATTTATTATGCAAAACCTACTCTAATTCATTCTGCAATCAGGCAAAACTCACCTCCAAATTAAGATAATCCCAGCATAATGCACTCTTAACTATGAAATTGTAAAATATAGTAATACTCTGATTCCAATATCTGAAAATTAATCTGAATCACCTGTGAAAAAGAAAACTTCAAATACAAGATATAAATAATCAAACTGGCACCATATTAGCAACGATTAAAACCACTGGTTCTTATTTAAGACATTACCTGCTAAACTAAATAATATTTTTTGGACTTAAGGTATCTGACCTCACCTGCTTTCTTGCCATGCCTCCGCACATGCAACTTTCACTGTGCCATGGCCGTTATCCACTGTCCTTAAGGCATCTGTAGCATTAAATGAAATTCCAAATCCTCCCGCATGTTGCACTTTTAAGACATTATCACCAAACAACATCTCTGGAAGGGAATGCATTTTCATTTCCTGAGCTAACCTGTATTGTTAATCAGTCAAGAGTAGAGTTGAAAACATTAGAATAGACAGCATCCATTATAGTACTTTTACTTAAATTACACATCATCAACAATGTCACCAATCAGCTGGAAGATCTAGGTTTAAATATTTTCTAATCAACTCGTTCATAGATGTTATTACACACCTCAATGTCCCACCTGCCCTACAGGAGATTCACCAGTTGAAGCTTCCTAGTCTAAAGGTGAGGACACTACCATTGCTCCACAAAAGGACCAAAGATCTAGGTTTACATTCAAGTGTAAACTAAAACAAAATTATGGATCCAATTTATTCAACATAAATCCCAATTCTTGAGGATACGTTCTATTAAATTTTAGCTAAACTTCTTCAGAAGAAGGGTCTAGGCCCGAAACGTCAGCCTTCCTGCTCCTCTGATGCTGCTTGGCCTGCTGTGTTCATCCAGCTCTACACCTTGTTATCTCAGATTCTCCAGCGTCTGCAGTCCCTGCTATCTCTGAAACCATACCATATGACCATTTTGCTATGTTACAGACAAGCTTAGACTTAACCACCTGAACAATAAGGCTCTGGCTCTGAAAAGAAGTAGCCCAGATGTCTGATCATGTAAGTTATACACATGGAATCCACTATAACCCAAAAATATTTGGGGTAACTGGACAATTAGATAGAGAATCATGTGACAAGCCACCTAACCCATTGTATGTTTCAGCACTTGCTTTCTCTGCAAATCAGGACAAGCACTTTCGATGTTGAAAAATTAGCAATCTCATATGGGTCTCTATCTCAACAACTTGCAAGTTTCGAACCCTGTCTGCAAATTCTTCAGCTCCATGTGTCACTGAGATTTTGTAAAAAAAACTCAACATAGCAGCTATCTTCATAAGGACAGATAAATCATCTATCTATATCTTTAAACATCCTCAACAATGAACTCAGGAAGATTACCAAGCTCAACTTGAAGCCTTCAAAGTCATCAAATGTTAAGAGCCCAATCCCTTTTACTTTGCTCAACTAAAATTGCTTCATCTATCCTCCCAAACTGTCATCTATTTGTATGTGTGATAGTTGGAGGGATTTTCATCAGTTTCAGAGAACAAGTACAATAAAAATTAATCCTTTCTTCCTTTCAAAAAAAATCAAGGACATTTGCCTCCTTATCCTTTACTGTCACAGCACATAAACAGTTTAACACTCACGGATGTTTTTGGTAGCCACATCCTTTTTGCTAAAAACCTATTATAGTTAAATGATGAGTAGATAAAGGGGTCCCCTCTTGCTGGACCTGACCCCAGGAGACAATTTATTTTTTTGACTATAACAGATAAGGCACTGAACTTATAAATGTTTGACTTATCCTGATCCAGGATCAGTAAGTTATTATTTCTACTTTTTGCAAATGGAGATATTACTAGACAGTAAGTTAGTTTAGAAATCAAAGAAGTTATTTTCATACTTTTCAATGTCCTTTGATTTCATAATATGGCTTTTGTTGGCAGTTAGTTTCCATGGTCCAAAGTTAAATTCTTGCTTGCTGTTTTTGAAACTATGTGTTGTCATAGCGGTCGAATGTCACCTAGAAGAAAATATTCAGTTAATTCTATAAATCATCTCAGTTATAGTGTATGTATAGTGGTTGTGCAAGCATATCTTTGATCACATAAATACTAGAGATTGAAGACTATAAGCATACAGTGTATTATAGAAATCACTTTTATATATATCTGTTTATTGTTAAGAGACTTGACTCCATGCTAGAGGTGACCAGAGGGTGTTTCTGTAAATAATGAAAATATAGCTTTGAAGGCTGTAAATTAATGATGCATTAAATATTTACAGTTACATCATATAATTCAACATTATTGGTCTTTCCAGAGCTGCTATGCAGTCAGCTAAATAAAGAAGCTCAATCAAACAACAGACAGCAATTTCCACAATACACTGCTGTTGCTCTTAGTAAGCACTCTGCATGACAACTCTTAGCATGTACCTGAAGGCTGATCTCTTTCTACTTCCAATAAAGCACCATTACATTCTTCAGCGAGATCAAAACAAGGGACATCTGCAAGACATTAAGTTCACTATCTTGGAGTAGACAATATAATCAGAGATGATCAGAGAAGTTCGGTGAAATTCCTGGGTAACTGCTACGGTGAAATCATCACCTCTATCATCTAGAAAAACAGGGTGCAGGTGCATGGGAACACCATCATCTCCAAATTTCTTTCCACACCGTCCTGACTCGGAAGCATATGACCATTCATTCATTGTTGTTAGGTTAAAATCCAGAACTTGTTAACGGGATGATGGGTGGCCCTACTCCTCAAGAACTGCAGCGTTCCAGGAAAGCAGCTCCCCGCCACTATTTTTTTAGGGCATGAGGGCAAAATACATAACTTTTAATCATCAACTTTGAAAGCCGAAGAATTAAATTAAAATAGAGGAAAACCCCAGCGCACTCAGGCTGTGGTTCTATGCTACTCTCAGTTATTTGCATCTCCGAGCTCCGCACAAGAATCTGTAATTGATTGCTGCAGTTCCCCCGAGCCCTGACCCCCACTCTCTCTCCGATCACCCCCTGTCATACGGTTTGATACTTACTTTGCTCCATCACTACACCCACCCCACATCGATCTCCCCGTCCGGACCACCTGCTCCTCACCTGCCTCCCGCTGGTGACTCCAGCCCCACGATCCGCCGCCGCCGGTGCTCCGGATTTCCTAGGCCCCGGTCCGCCGCTAATCCGGTCCCACATCGCCGGAACCCGCCAATCGTTCCGAGCTGAAAGGTCCCACTGACTGGGGGATACGGCTTTTCCTCCCACAGAGAGGGAGAGGACCTTTCAAACAGCAGTCCCGCCCCCCAGCCGCGCGCCTTTGGTCTGTGTACAGTTTGTGAGCAAACCCAGACAGTCATTTCAATTCCTCCTGCAAAAAAAAGTGTCCCGGGAGCCCGACCGAGGAAGATCCAGCAGCAGATACCCCTCAGGTTCACCCTTTCCACCCCCAACCCTCACTCTCTTCCACCCCATCTCGTCCCCATTCCCCCCACCCCTCTCCTCACCAACCGCTTCCCCTCCACATCTTTTCCCCACTATGCCCCCATCTCTCCCCGTCCACATCTCTCCCCCACCATGCCCCCA